CTTTTAACAAATTAAACACTATTTTATAACAATTATATTATTCATATATTTATGAATAAATGCTCAAATATCTAAGCGAGAATTTAGTTTGGACCTCTTATTTTTAGATACCTAGCTTAGAACTTTAAAACAGGCTACCACCCTTGGAAGCTTTTTATTCTCGAGGTAAACTTGCTAGAGCTTTCTGTATTCACAATCTGGCTAACCTAGACTTCAGTAACTTATGCCAAGTCTGAGAACAAGTACTTGCGAGCCGAAGCCGCTACCATTATCTACTTCTGCTCTTGTAGAGTTCACCCAAACCCAGTATTCACTTGATAGACTATATTGTACTTTCTGAATTTTTCAAACTACCAATCCAGATAGCCCAAAAAAGCTATAACCTGCTCCTGGTTCCCATGATTGGGTCTTTTTCCTCCAGTTACTCTCTCAGTAGCCTGGTTAGTAGAGTGCTTTGCCAAATACTTCGGTCCCATTTAGTTAATCTGCTTTTCTAACTATAATCCTTTATATAGTACCATCAAAGATCTGTACTATCTTTTTACTCAGGTCTTGCTAAACATACATCTGATCTTCTCAGTTCCTTGGGTTTACTACAATCTGAAACTTTTTTCATATAACTTATATATTGCACAAATGCTTCATGATCTCCCAATCTTGTTGATACTACCAAGGTTACAGAGATCCCATTCCAACCAATTAATAGAAGATAGTAGCATTGTACAAGTAGAATTTTTAAAATTTATCACTAGTGGGTTTCGAACCCCTACCTTTCCAACTCTCCGCTTGAAGGTGTGACAACTTAACCACCTCACTAAGTCACTATACTCTAAATTAGATTATTTTTTTTATTCCAAATATTAGTATTAATTATAATAAATTAAATTGTATTCTTTATTCAACTTAAATTTTATTTTTTATATATTGATATATCATTTTAGGTGCTAAATTACAGATTAGTGGATTTCAAATAATAGCTAAAGCAGCAATCAAAATTTGGAAATTATTAGATAGAGAAAGAAAATTATTAGAAATTTTACTCACACAAATAAATAATTTTTGTGAATTTATAACATCATATAATTATTTTTGGAATGATCAAAATAATATATTAATTAATTGGTAGCAAAGTGCAATGATAGTCTAATTATTTAGCGTATTTAGTATTAAAAGTTCTTGCTATAATATCATATAATGTTAAATGTGAGAGAATTTTTTAAATATTTACAGATATTTCTAATATAAAAATCTTATTATATAATTTCTATTTTACAAGATAATTAGTAATAAATTTACTATTACTATAATTTATTCTGTAGAAATCGGTTGAATCTTGCAAAACTTGAAGATATAGCAAAAATGCATATCTATTATATTTCAAATGCTAATACTGAACTTAAATAGATAGCAGCAACTATTAAATTAGATGAATTATGCCAAAAAATATTAGATATAACAGTATTAATAGGATTAAAAGATGAAGACAATAAGAATGATATTGCTACAGCAGATGAAATCAAAGAGTTTTATATATTAGAAAAAAATGAATATAACAATATTTTAATTAAGAGTAAATCATTAATAATTGGTAATACAATGAATTTAGATTTGTCTAATTTTATAGTATAATCTATAGCACTTGATAGTGTTGTTATTTCAGAAGTTATTAAAGACAATATTGAAGAGAACTATAGCAATAGAGAATTTGACATTAATGCTTTGGTAGATAGCTTAGATATTTGAGCATTTATTCATAAATATATGAATAATATAATTGTTATAAAATAGTGTTTAATTTGTTAAAAG